TAGGGGCTTTTGAGCTGAAATGCTATAGAAAGATTCTCAGAATAACTTGGACAAAGAAGATGAGAAATACTGACATCTTGAAAGATCTGAACATCAAGAAAGATTGGCTAATAAACAGCATCCTGTCTCTGAAGTTGAAATATTTTGGTCATATCAAGCGCTACGACGGATTGAAAAAAAAAAACAATAGCAGAAGGCACAGTACCAGCAAGGAGGGGCAGGGGCCGACCAACACGAAGATGGGCACAGGATATAAGTGACCCCTTAAGTATGAAAGTAAATGAGACGAAAGAGCTGGCGAGAGATCGAGTTTCTTTCAGGCAGACCGTGATGACAGCGACGTTCTGCAAAGGAATTACTACATGATGATGATGATAATGATGTTTGCCATTGCTTTTTGGACAGTCAGCTTCTCAACACGGCTGTCGAAACCAACGCAACGCAAGGCCCGCGGCTGGGTTTGAACCCAGCACCTCGGCATTGCGAAGCACGTTCGCAACGCCGAAGCCACAGACTCTGCCACACAAGAGAGTAAGAAAGTGGCAGATCAAGAACCGTCTGGTTTATGTTTATGCTGGGGTAGTAACCCATAAATGCTCCGTTCTACTTCTAACTCAAGCCTGAGTCCAAAGAATGTCAGTGCAGTGCACTAACTCCGTAGCACCGGCGAGGATCGTGAAATATTTTGTGTGGATTTTTAACTCCAAACTTTGCCCGGGCATCGCCGTTAGGCTACTTTTTAGATTTCAAACTGCCAAGGGATGTTTTTACGCGCGCAACAATACACACGGGCGTCCCATCTTACTACTCAGAGACTATAGGAAATTACTAAGGTCCACAGGAAACAAATTCCAGCCTTCACCGGGACCTCCAGCACTCGAGGCGGACGCCATGCTTCGAGAAAGAGTCGTCTGAGACAGAGTAAAGCGTCCAGCGTCACACCAAATCTCCCTTAATCGCCTCATAGGCCATTCTTTACTGTGCAGTTGTTTTGTTTTGTCTTCGGGCCCCAATAACACAAAGGCCTTCCCTCCTGATAGTGTATTCAACAGTACTGACTGCGGCTATCTGGTGTTTTTAAAAGGTTGTCCCGACATCTAAAATAGCAAATGAAGTTAAAAGAATACGACAATTTGAAATAATTTTATTGCACTAACTTATAAAAAATTGCAGTCAAAGTAAAATTCTACAAATTATAGCGAAAAAAAAAAAAAAAAAGTCAATCAACATTCAGTATAGACTGTTTGAAATTTATGTTATTCAAAGTGGAACGATTTGTTATAATTTCAGGAAAACATCACATGAAAGTAAATTAATCAGTTATGAAGAGACAGAGATATTAAAGAGATCAGAAGGAAGTCACACTGGAGGCAACATCAGTTTTCCTATACAGGTCGCATTTTTTATTGCCAGACATAGGAAAAAATACATTTTAATACGTAAATCAATCTAAACGGCTGCTTTTAAAAGTCTGAGCAAAACACTGAACTTTAAATTAAAGTTTTAAAATTAAATGATTAATTTTTAATTGTAAGGTTTCTATTTGAACATATTCAAAAACTCAACCACGCGTAACCTGCTGATAGCTATCCGAAGTCTTCGGCTATATTTGTGGTCGTGTTTATTTGCGCCGCTTTCGTGGCTAAAGTTCAGGTATTTGCGCCGTCTCTGGGCTTAGTGCTTCTTTCCTCCAAGGCAAACCGCTAATTCCCTATCCTGTTGTCAAATGTTTTCTTCCTGCCCTTTCATTTCTGATGTTTCCTACTTGTTTTCTGATTTGGCCAGGAGTATTTTGTAGGAGCGCGAGCTTCTCAACATAACGTCTATCTATCTTCTTTACCCCACCAGGACATTACACAAGCAATAAACACCCGATGACACAAAGTGCCACCATGTGGATGAGGATCACCCGTGGAGAGGTCCCAGAAACCGCGTTCAGCCATTAGACCATATTTATGACCGGGCTTTATATATTGCTTCAAAAAGCAAGAAAATTGCATCCCTCAAGGGGATTATTGGATTTACATAACGTATTTTTGACCACCATTTACAGTTTTAAAATTTTGAGTATTTAACCTTTGCCAAAAAGTACTAAAACAGTTTTTGGGTTTGGATAGATCCGAAATGTGAAAATATTCCGCGTGTGACCACAGTGGTCTTATAGCTGTCTTCCTGCAATAAGAAAGGGTTAATCATGTCATGGCGATGTGTGTGAAATGTTATGTGAAGCCTCACAATGTTCTGTCGTCATTTGTGATCTGTCCGTTATGTCCCTAGCATGTTTTCATGGGTGATGATGATGAATTTCTTGCTTGAGTACGCTCCTCTTTACATTTATTCTCACTAATGTGTAAGTTCGAACAATTTCACACATATATATGCACCCGTTCATCCTGTAGTTCCATGGGAAACACATAAACTGAGGAAATGATGATGGCCAGGAGGACCCCTCCCTCCCCCCACCCCAAAAAAGATGAATGTCAACAACAGTTGTCAATGGTGCTGAACTAGATTCCACCAATGAAATTGAAAAGATTACCCAGGATAGGAAGGAGTCCCTGTGCGATCCATAAATTTCAAAACATAATGATGATGATGGTGATGATGAAATTAATAAATGTATATTTATCTATTTACAGTAAATACGTTACCGGAGAAATATGGATTATTAAATTTTATTGTAATATGGAAATCTTTCTATTTGTTATATATGATCAAATTGCGAGCTACAGAAAGTGACTTCTGATATACTACAAGCCAACACTGATGCCACATCACAGAAATATTATGAAAATCTTATTTATAGTCCGTTCAGCAATTCATGAACAAGAAAAGATTTTAATATATTGGAAACTAATGGACTAACTAATGAAATTTTGTTCGCCAACTCCAGACATCCATGACGTTAAGAAAATATTGTTTTCACTACTGAAGTATAGCAAATGTATTTTTTGTTTCTTTTTTTTTACGATATATATTTGTTCATCATGAAACTGTCTTGGTAGAGTGTTGGAAGGCTTATTTCATTAGTTTCAGGAACTAATGTTAACAAGCACACAATGGGGGGTTCAACGGAGGGGGGGGGGTAGAGGGGGGGGGGGGGGGGGTTCAAAGAAAAACTCATTTCATGGCTTTCGTGTGCAAAGTCACAGTTTTAGTGAACGGATCCACACACACACACACACAAAATTGTTTAGTCAAAGGCGTGTTTACAAATTAGAGTCGAATTATTGTCATACAGCTGGCTTGTCAAAACTGACATAGACATCAGTTTCATAAAGAGTCTGAGGTGTAAACTTTTTTAACAATGAGGGAGGTTACAATTTTATTTGACCAGCACTTCCACCGGGAAAATAAGATGGGGCATTTAAATTGTGATATTCATGATTCAGAGACAAACTAGCGCTTGTTCTGGATAGAGCATCAATTATAATGAAGATACGCCTCTAAAAAAAAATTGAATATTAATTTGAAATTAACATGTTTACTGTAAAGTCTAAAATTGTATTCTAATTATTTACACTGGTTCAAAAAGATCAAAGGAATTGGCTGATTAGCAGAATCCCAAGAATCTATGGACTAAACAAAAGTACCATTTCCGCGTCATGAACATTTAAAGGCTGCATGCAAAAATCATTGCGATCTAACGGGCAGTTTTTAAGAAAACAGATTGCAGACGAGTTCATGATTTTTTGAATGGACTATAGCTACAATATTTAGTTTCTATAGCTGTTACATGTCATGCATTTGAAAGAATACTGACATTTGGAACAAATTTTACTCACACTGAAACATCTAATCTACTGAAGATTAAAACGTGTTGACACTAATGTCAGGTTGTGATTACAAAGAGAATAGTTTGACTTCTTCTTCTTCTTCTTCTTCTTCTTCTTCTTCTTCTTCTTCTTCTTCTTCTTCTTCTTCTTCTTCTTCTTCTTCTTCTTCTTCTTCTTCTTCTTCTTCTTCTTCTTCTTCTTCTTCTTCTTCTTCTTCTTCTTCTTCTTCTTCTTCTTCTTCTTCTTCTTCTTCTTCTTCTTCTTCTTCTTCTTCTTCTTTTTCTTCTTCTTTTTTTTCTTTTTCTTCTTTTTCTTCTTCTTCTTCTTCTTCTTCTTCTTCTTCTTCTTCTTCTTCTTCTTCTTCTTCTTCTTCTTCTTCTTCTTCTTCTTCTTCTTCTTCTTCTTCTTCTTCTTCTTCTTCTTCTTCTTCTTCTTCTTCTTCTTCTTCTTCTTCTTTTTCTTCCTCTTTTTCTTCTTCTTCTTCTTCTTCTTCTTCTTCTTCTTCTTCTTCTTCTTCTTTTTCTTCTTCTTCTTCCTTCTCTCTTCTTCTACTTCTTCTTCTTCTCTATCTTCTCCTTCTCTCTTCTTCTTCTTCTTCTTCTTCTTCTTCTTCTTCTTCTTCTTCTTCTTCTTCTTCTTCTTCTTCTTCTTCTTCTTCTTCTTCTTCTTCTTCTTCTTCTTCTTCTTTCTATTTATATTCAAGTACAAAATAATAATTTTCACAAGTGTAGTCCTCAGAAGTCGGAGTGCATCTGCATGAAAGGAGAGGAACCAATAGTCTGCACATAAATAAGGCAGATCTGTACAAGTGATAAAGATGCAAAACTCATATTCTGGAAATTGGCGAATAACCTCAATTTGTTGCCAGTTTACAGCTGGTGAATGCTACGAAGAAAAGAAGAAGAAGAAGAAGAAGAAGAAGAAGAAGAAGAAGAAGAAGAAGAAGAAGAAGAAGAAGAAGAAGAAGAAGAAGAAGAACAACAACAACAACAACAACAACAACAACAACAACAACAACAACAACAACAACAAAAAGAAGAATAGAAGTGACAACGATGAACATTTTGTGTGGTTGTCGTTGGCACAAGAAAGTAACACCTGTGGGGTGACCTCTTTGCCACAAATATGGAGCTTTGGTTTACTGATTAACTCATTTAATATAAATCTGTACATCTAAGATGAAAAGATAATGATCGAACGAATGAATGAAGTGTCTATAAAATATCACATATCACCAAATATTCCAGCGAAAGTTTTCCTTAAATTTTTCATTGTGTCTTCTTCGTCTTTGCTAGGCATCCTGGGTAGATTCTGGGCACCAGAAGTAGGAGCTGGACAAGGATGAGGTGGAAGATTGCTCAAGTGAGAAGGCTGGTTGCTGAACGGAGCTTGGGGATTGCCAGCCCCTGGCAACCCACTGGAGTTTGGTGCTCCCCTAGCTTGCCCGGGTGCTATCTGTGCTGCCCTGTAGAGATTGAGTAGATGGGTTAGTTCGGTGTTCCTCAAAATTTTTACAATCGCAGTATACCAAAACAGGGTAAACTTTTTCTGGACCCATCTGAAGCTTACCAAATATGAAAAAAAAAGCATGCAAAGAAAGCTGTTTAATAAATCCGATGTCACAAAATTACATTTTTCAAATAATGCTGCTTGGAGGTTAAACAATTCGATGTATGTGACTAGAGTGTTGTTTCTGACAGAGGAAGCACTATAGAAAAATCAATTTGATTTCTCTGTTTAGTTTTTATTTATTGACAAATTAGACAAAATCATTTCAAACAAATAGAAGTCACTAAGGAGTTAATCCCACTGACTGGAAAAGACACACCAACTACCCTACTTCACCACATGATTAAGCCGAATTCTTTTGAGAGGCCAATCTGGACTTTTCTGAAGTCCACTGTTGGGGCCGCAGCCCATTTGTTGAAGAACACTGGGCTAGTTCATGCTGTGTTGTGTTATCACAATCGATTCACTGCACACTGAACACTCCCATGTGTGCTCAGTCCTCTGATGCACTCCAAGGTAACTGTACTGATAGTTCCCATGAGAAGTTTGTCACCGTCTCCTGACTTTGCCTCAAAGACGGCATAGACGTACATCACCGAACATTACTCTCAGGGCGCGTAATCGTGTAAGCGTCAAAGATGCATCAGTGTCTGCCAGCCTTGTACGTACAGCTCTAATAATATCAGATCTGTTATGCCTCTTCCTGGATGCACTTGGAACATCTAAACATTCACGAATTGTACTTATCATCATGTATCAGGTCCTTTGCACAAACATCGCTCTCATCAGCGTCTGCCTGCAAGAAGTCCAGCTTCTCACCAGCTCTCCCGTCTCGTGCACTTTCCTACCCAAAGTGTCAATTATATACTGTGGCCATCTTCGTGCTGGTCGGCCCCTGCCCTTCTTTCTTGGCACTATGCCTTCTGCTTTTATTATTTCCAATCTGCCTTAGTGCTCAATATTGCCCACAATATTTCAGTTTCTGAGACAAGATGCTGTTTACTAGCCAATCTTCCTTGATGTTACGATCTTTTAAGATGTCAGTATTCCTTTACCTCTTGGTTCATGGTATTCTCATAATCTTTCTATAGCATTTCAGTTCGAAGGCCCCCTATATTATTCCCTAATGACTACAAAGTAACCTGCCTACTAACAATTGACTTCTGAGACTATCTAACATATCTAGCTCAACAGTAACATACAGACATGTCTGCTGTAAGCATACACGTAGACATATCCACTTGGTCCTTAAATGTAGGCATATCTACCCAAACTTACTTGTAGGCATATATACTCAACAATTACATTGTCATATCTACCCATTGCTTACATGTAGGCATATATGCTCAACACTAACATAAGGCATATCTACTCAACAGTTACATGTAGACATATCTACTCAATACTTACAGTGCAGGCCTACCTATGCAAGACACATGTCTACTCAGCCGTTACAATGTCAGCATATCTACTCAACACTTACATTGTGAATATATCTATTCAACATTTACAATGTTGGCATAACTACTCAACACTTACATTGTTGGCATATCTACTCAACACTTACAATGTTGGCATATCTACTCAACACTTACAATGTTGGCATATCTACTCAACACTTACAATGTTGGCATATCTACTCATCACTTACAATGTTGACATCTGTACTCAACATTTATAATGTTGACATCTGTACTCAACATTTATAATGTTGGCTTATCTACACAACACTTACAATGTTGGCATATCTACACAACACTTACAATGTTGGCATATCTACACAACACTTACAATGTTGGCATATCTACTCAACACTTACAATGTTGGCATATCTACACAACACTTACAATGTTGGCATATCTACTCAACACTTACAATGTTGGCATATCTACACAACACTTACAATGTTGGCATATCTACTCAATACTTACAATGTTGGCATATCTACTCAACACTTACAATTTTGGCATATCTACACAACACTTACAATGTTGGCATATCTACACAACACTTACAATGTTGGCATACCTATTCAACACTTACAGTGTCTGCATAGCTTCTCAACACTTACAATGTTGGCATGTCTACTAAACACCTACAGTGTTGGCATATCTACACAACACTTACATGTCAGGCTGCCTACTGTGTGGCGCTCTAGCTGGGCTGGTAGATGGGGCAGGCTGAAAGGCGCCATTGGGCTGAGGCATGTTGGAGG